ATTGTTTCAATGTTTCACCCATAGGTTATTATGGGGGAAAATAAAGTACAGCAGGCAAGCAGATCAGGGGCTCGCTGTTGCCTGGGACAAGTGCTAGGAAGATGAGGGTCCACATCCCTGGGAGGGCTCCAGTCCAGCCCCTGGAGCCCTCCTGGGGGTGTGGGTGAGCCCCCAATCTGCCTGCTGGATGAGAGGAGGTGGGTGATGCTGCCTGGGACCGGAGGCAACAGCGATCTTCCCGGCACTGGTCCCAGGTGGCAGCACTCAGCTCCTCTCATCTGGCAGGCAGATCAGGGGCCCATACCCCCGGGAGGACTCTGGCACAGCCCCCACAGCCCTCCAGGGGGTGTGGGTGAGCCCCTGATCTGCCTGCTGGATGACAGGAGACGGGTGCTGCCAGCTGGGACTGGCGCCGAAGCCAGAAAGCCTGGCTTCGAAACTTGAAACAATTCAAAACTTTCAAAACATTTTGAGTTCCCTTGTTTCATTTCAAAGCTATTTTGAAGGCTTTTGTTTCATTTTGATTTTGCTGTTTCGAGCTTGAAGCGCATTGAAACCACTTCGAAACAAAACACTGGGTGAAATTTCACACAGGCCTAATGGCCACTTGCAGGGGGCTGCTCATTGCGTTAAGCAGGCAGAGTGAGTGAAAGGTGGCTGGCAGATGGAGCTGAAGCCCCTCATACTGGGGCAGGAGCTGCCTGGCTGCAGCTTCCCCCTGCCTAGAACAGCACAGCAGGGGCAGGAGGAGGAGCCACTGGATGTGGGGGGAATAGAGCAGTACCTGGGCAACTGCAGCTGCAGCAGGAGCAGCCCCACCGGGAAGGTCAGGGTTGGTTGCCTCACAACCAGAACCCAAGGAAACAGCTTGAGGTGCTGCAGGTGGCAGCTGGTGTCGCTGGTTGCCGCTGGAGGCTTTTAGAGAGGCAGCCGCCATTACCTGGGTTTTGAAGGGGCTCCACGGGCCAGAGGGAAGTGTTTGGTGGGCCAGATCCAGCCCGTATTTTGCCCAACCCTGCTCTAAGGGGTGTCAGAGGCTGCGATTAGTCCATGAGGCAGCAGGTGCCCTGGGGCCACATACAGACATAGAGGGCCCACCAAGTGTGAAGACTTTAGTGAGTCCAGTAGGGTCTGAGCTAATTTACTGGCAGGAGGCTCGCTTGGAGCTTGTTCTAGGGCCCTGGGGGTAGCCTCCCTTTGCAAAATTTACTAAGAACATTAAGTCATGATGAAGGTGGGGTGAAGCGCCAAAGCAGGACAGGAGCTGAGTGGCCACTAGAGGGTGTCAAGGTTGTCCTTGGAACACTGGTCCTATTACAGTACCCTATTCTGATTTTATTCCACCCTGGTCAAAGTCACCAAAAAAATCAATGCAAAAGGTGGATTTTTGTTTGTACTCTTCTTTTGTGACTCAACCTTAAGGGCAAGATGCTGCTGCATTATTAAAGTAGATTCAATAATGGATTTTCAGGGACTTGAACAGGATGAAAATTCATTGCACTTAGATACCTAATAGATGGAACAGAATCTGGCCTTGAGTGCTGGCATATGTTGAGTTATTGAAGAGCCTGCCCTAAAGTGAAAGAATGTCTGAAATCATAAAAGCTGATGCTGGTTGGATGACTGTAGAAATGATTCTCTGTGGGCATTCTGAATGGTTATAAAAAAAGTGTATCACTTTACAAGTAGACTTATAATTAGAGGACACAGTTAGCAAAGACCAGATCAAAGGTTTCTGGTGAGGTTTCTGAATAACTGAGAGACTGTTAATGACCCCTAGTGACAATTATATCAATGATGATCACCAATGGTATTAGGAAATTCAAGTTAAGGTGTTCAAAACAAAAATAATATTGCCCTTTTGTGTCTGATACCACAGGGATGTTCTGTGCTTAGCTAGAAGCTATCGCTCTTCCTCTTGCTCTCTCTATAGATATATGCACAGAAACTAGAAATATCTACAGGTTCAAATTATGCCTTCAGTCACGTACCTTAGTAAAAATAGCTTTTGAGAAACAATCTGTAGTAGATGGTTGAAAACTTAAAGTGGCCCAGCGTGTGTAACTAGAGTGACATCTGAAAATAGTCTGAATATCTGAATTTTCTCAAAATGGTAATCTTTGAAAGGTGTCAAAAGGTGGTAGTACTTGCTGGACTATGTCCAAAGAAGGATCAAATATTTAAAAAATAGGATGTCATTTGGTTTTCACCATGAAAATAATGCTTAGTGGAAAAAACATTTTTGTCCACATTCAAATAAGTCGAAGTGAGATAATAATGTTTTAACATCATTTTCTAAAAACATTTATTTTTTGGACTCAGATAAGGTATGAGGAACTTCAGCCAAAGAAACAATTTAGAATTGAATAGAAATCCTATTTTGCCATTAAATATTGTGTCACTATCTAACATTCTAATGTTATCTGGAAACACTGTCTTTTAAATACTTATGCCTAAAAATGTAAGTAACAGTGCATTTTGTTTGGTTGTAGGGTATACAGTATAAAATGAGCAAAATATGCAACGTTAACTGGTTTAATTTAGTTTTACATATGTAACCTCATATTTGCTTTAGCATAGTGTTCTGCACTGATGTTGTAAGAAACACATAACCAAAGTTCATGGCTGATCTTTTTACATATAAAAAAGTCAGTTGTAAGAGAAAAAAATGCTCCTTTTTCGCTTTGATGGAACAACTTAGTTGAAAGTCTAGCATGGGGTAGGCAATGTTTTTTGGCTGGAGTGCCAAAAAACACCACAATGCCTACTTTGGAAGGTGCCGGAGTGCCGGCATGGCAGAAAAACAAAATGAGGGCAAGGGGTACATGGGAGGATGCCCTGCTTGTGTCCCTTGCCCCCCACCCAAAGCCCCTGCCCCCCAGCCCTACTGCCCCTTGCCCCTCACCCAAAGCCCCTGACCCACACCCCGGGCTCGGGGGCTGCCAGCAGCTAGTCCGGATCCAGGTAGCTGCTGGAGTCCGGGCTGCTCCCAGCAGGGCTTGCAGCATCCCAGCTGCCTGCTGGTAGCAGTCCGGGATCCCAGCTGGCAGCAGTTCCTCAGAGCCGGGGCCGGCTGCAGTCGGGAGGCTCCAAACAGCTGTGCCGGGCTCCAGCATCAGCTCCACACCGGCGTGTGTACCTATGCATCAGAGTGGGCAGGGCCTGAGGCAACGCGGCCCTGGTCCCTCTTCCGTTCCCGGCATGGAGGTGATGAGCCTGGCGCAGCTGTTTGTAGCCAGCCCGGGCTCTGGGAAGCCGCAGCAAGCAACCGGCAGAGTGCAAACAGCTGTGCCGGGATCATCACCTCCGTGTTGGGAGGTGGGGAGAGACCAGGGCTGCGCTGTCTCAGGCCCTGCCCGCTCCAGCATGCGGGTGCACGTGCCGGTGCAGAGCTGATGCCGGAGCCTGGCACAGCTGTTTGGAGCCTCCTGGCTGCAGCCGGCCCCGGCTCTGGGAAGCTGCTGCCATCCGGGATCTCGGGCTGCTCCCAGCAGGCAGCTGGGATGCTGCAAACCCTGTTGGGAGCAGCTTGGGCTCCGTCGCTGGCAGCAGCTACCCAGAGCAGGGGCTGGCCGCGGCGTGCCAAACAAAATAGCCTCGCATGCCATGCTTGGCATGCGTGCCAGGGGTTGCCGACCCCTGGTCTAGCATATTATGTTTACAAAAGCTTTCAGCTGGCTAGTCAAGTTCAATACAGACATAGATATTTCAACCCCCTCATGATTCTAATGCAACAAGAAGAAGACTGCAATGAGGTATTATTCGTTTGATTTTATTACACCATTATTGCATATAAATGTCACTGCTACTGCCTCACTGCCCAGCTTTACTGCATACAATGAATCAAAGCATTAAGAAGTGCCACATGGTGCAGAAAATAACAAATGCATTAAAATAATGTGTGGAGTAAGGTAAAATAACCTTACTAAAGCAAAGTAAGTGATATGTTAACTATGAGGTTCCTACTTTTGTTTATCACAACATATAAAATGTTATACAATTAGCTGAGAGCTGTATATATTAAAGGATTCTTGGAGGTCTTTTTTTAAAAGTAAAGAGCTAAAAAAATAGAAACCTGAAGGCAGCGAATAGAAGAGAAGAATATTGCCAAGTGTACATTTTCTACTCATATTTCAGAGGAGAAACATATGAATCACCTACTATTTATAATGCATGGCAGCAGTTCTGGAAGTTTTATTAACTACTGGGCAATTAAAACTGCCAAAGAAAAGTAATTGCAAGGACCATAATCATCTTGTGCCTCTCTCTCAAATGAACAATGTAATGCACAGATCTCTATAGTAAGTTCCTATTCCATACACACCACAAAGATCACATTATATCTTAATTCCATTCAACTTTATAAAGTGAACTCAAACAGAACATATGAGTATCCAAAAGGCCTGAATAAATGTTTGTTTTGACTTGGATATGGCTTCTATAAGGGAACAATCAGTGACCCCACTAATTTCCCATTATCCCATAAGTAACCAAGGGCAGAATCTGATTCCCAGTAAGTACATACAGGATTATGAAAAGAGCTTTCTAACAAGGAAGCCTAATAGCTTCATATTTCCATACTAGAGCACGGGTTAAAAATTCACAAGTGTACAGAAAACACTGGCTAAGAGTTAACTTAGATTATGTTCAAAGCCACAAATACAAAAAAACATTTTCTTTTTTGTTTGCGGGAGAAGCAGTGAAGAAACTGCCTTCCTCACTAGAGGAGGATCTTAGCACAGTCTGTCAGCCAGTTTCCTCTCTTTATTTAACCATTTTTATTAAAAATATTTTCTTTCTTTACTGTACTGACACTGATGTATTCAGTGTGACACACAAAATGCAACTGGGTTGCTTTTTAGCTCTTTCATTATAGGTCAACCACCTTAAAAATTGACTTTATGGCTTATTACCTAAGAAGAAATGGAGATAAAAAAAAAAAGTAATGACATAATGTTTTGCACCAGACATCTACATTCAAAATTTTGTATCTCACTTACCACCCATGGTTTGTCACAGAAGTTGTAGATTGACTCAAGGGAGTTAACACTCGGGATGCCAGCATATTGCATTCCAATGATTAAGTTACGGAAATCTTCATTCTCAGCCATACTGAACGAATGTTGTCGAACAAGAACAAAATCAGGTCTGAATGATCTGAAGAGAAAAAAAGTATGTAACTATTAAGTGATGATCAAATTACTTTTTCATCTGACAATAAACAGCAGTCTTAGAAGGGAAAGTTGTACCAGCTGCTGGACAGAAAAAAAATTAAAATAGTATTTAAAAGGAAGGTAATGAGTTGAAAATCAAAGACAGCTTGGGGCAGAGGGGAGCAGCAGGGATTGCTCCCCTGGCAGCAGCCAGTGAGCAGGGGCTTTTTTTTTTTTTTTAAGAGCCGGGAGCTGGAGCTGGAGCTGGGAGAGCAGGCAGGGGATGGGGACTCATGACAGAACCCCTCATGCAATGTGGGGCAGTGGGGATTGCCCCCCACTCCACCTGGCAGCAGCCAGGAGTGCTGGGCTTTTTTTCCCCAAAGAACTGGGAGCTGGGGCCAGGCGGGGCAGCCATTGACGGGGCTGGCAGAGCAGGTGGGGGATGGGGCCTGTCTGATTCGGAGATTTGGCTGATTCGGCAGCCGCTGAATATCCGAATCAGATTCAGCCAAATCAGCTTGGGACAGTGATTTGAATCACCAAATCAAATCACTGTCCCCCAAATCGGCCGAATCTCAATCTGAAGCAAATACTAGTCGCTTCGCACGGACCTACTGGTTTTCATACAAATTCCTTACAGATGCACCTATGTACATATGTTTAACACCAAAAGAACATTTTCTTTTAGAAAATCCAGTTGGGTCATACCTTTATACATAATGCCATGCTACAGATGAGCAGAACAAAGTAGCAAGACCTTGTAGATTGCTCTCCTATTGGAGGATAATTCAGTGAAGTAGAATCTGCATGATTTCTACTTTTGATGTGCTTTAGGCAATGGATGGGCATTACATGTTTGCCAGGAGAAAATCCTTTCTCTGGGGACACAAATCTAGCATACTGCCATTCAAGGGGTTGCTTGCAGAAGAGAACTGGCTCTTAGGCAAAAAATTGAAAGTACTTCCAACCAGGAAGATCTCTCTTCTCTCATGCCATCCTGAATATTTATACACACCTCTCAGTACTATAATAAATCCTTGGCTGTCCCCCCTCACTACCAAGGAGGATGGCGGGCAGGAGAGAACTGGCTCTCTGACAGCTTGCCCAGAGGTCTGCTGCCATTGTTTAAACACTCCGGGAGAGTCCTTGGACTTTTCAGGTCACCTTGGGTCTGTTCAAGGTATGAGGCATCATTCTTCTGTGGGTGAATCCAACATGAGCATCCCCAGCATGAGTCAAGCTGTGGGGGAATGCCCTCAACCCATCAGTTTGCTAATTGGCAGGACTTCAAGGGGTGGAATCCCTGGGTTCCATGGCACTCCCAGTCACAGGCTCATCTTCCTGTCCCTAAAGCCCATTGAACCCAGTGGAAAGCATAAAGTTAACTTAAATAAACTCTACTTCAGGCTCTAGAACAATAGTTCTCAACCTTTCATGCTACCCTTCATTGGAATCAAGGCACCACATGGACAATTCCAGCTCTTAGCTTTCTGGTTTTTGACTATGGAAAAAAAAACTTTTGTTGCAAAGAACTCAGAAAGACCACAACAGGTCAGAATGTTTGATGCTATGGATTTCTGTTCGAAATCTCTGGGTTTACCTTGTGAATCATGTCTAAGAGTTTGCATATCAAATAGGGCTAATATTGTCCTTAAAAGGATCTTAGCAGTCTGGTTCAGAATCACTGGTCTAGATTCACCACAAGACCTCTTGTGTGGGGGAGGCCACTCATAGCAGAAAGAATGCAAGGCATGGAGGCTGTCCTGGCAAAAACAGAACACAATTTTACTATATACTGGGAGAAAAAGGAATCAGTGTCATCTAAAGCAATGACCTTGAAGAGGAAATTTGCAGGACTGCCATCACCTCTCAACCAAAAAATTGTTTAGACAGCTACAATTCAGCCACTTTGGTAGTTACATGAGCCCTGAAGGAGGGTATTAATGACAACTTTCCTGCCCTCACTTAGTTTGAATCCCCATTTGAGCCTTCATGGCCTGGAAGAATAATTTACGCTTCCTTGCACTGGCTTTTGTCGGTGTGGCCCACTAAGTCATATACTTTCTATACGATGTAATATTTTGTTTCTTAACTTTTGCATTTCAGGACTGTTTTATTTTTTATAAAGTTGAAGATATTTAGTGTTTCTTTAATAAATGTACAATGTCTTAACATTCAGCTTTATAGAAACCTGAGTATATTGTTATAGTTTCAATATGTATTTTCAATTACTGTAATGCTAATCAAACTCAATTAAGTTAATGCGCTTGCTTTACTCAAGTGCAATATAATTGTTAATGACAACTCTATTTTAGTACAATAGGGACCTAATTTATGCTAAATCATCTGTCTTTAAAAAATAGGAAGTGTAGGTAACATTAAATACAAGTCTGTGAAGGTGCAAATCTACCCTGCTGTCTGACTAACATGACTAACCACTTCTTGCAAATTTTGAAATGCCATTAAACAAAACAAGCAGTGTTTGTCAAAGAGCTTAACAGGAAACACCAAACACCAAGCCAAAGTGAAAAATGATGCCAGAGAATATTTTTATGATTCGAAAACAAGTCTGCCCACATAAATTTAACTTCAACATAATTAAGGGATGTGTTTCATATTCCCCCTGTATCCTTTTTTGGCTGTGATAAATCATCATGTTCCACAGAAGGTTAAACACAGTTGGCAAGACTCTGACCTCATTTAAATTATTGTAAGCCCAAAGACATTCCTTTGACTTTAAAACTGTGCAGTGTAAGGATGATCAGAATCATTTCAGTATATGCAGTCAGTAAAACAGTTCAATGCAGTACCTCATACAGTTGTTAATTTAAGACTAGGGTAACATTCCATTCTTTCCTGGACATCTGAATGCCCACATCTGGTCACCTACATGGTAAATGTGCCAAAATTGCTACTTATGCACAAGTTAGCCTTCTATCTCTGGACACATAGCCCTGAGCATCTGGACAAATATGAATAACTACATATGCACCTAGCTGGCAACAAAAAAGGAGAGAGAAAAAGCCTTTGTGTATTTTTCTGCCAAACGGCTCAGTGGTTATATGGCACTCACCTAGAAATGTGGAAGACCTGGGTTTTGGTCCTCCTCTCTCACCAGAAGAGGTTTAGAAGCTAAGCTTCCTTTGACTTCCCAATATAACACTGACAATCACACCACACATCAGCCATCAACTAGGACCTTCCCCAGTCCCTGCTTCGAAGCAGGTTCCTTGGGCATCCACAAGAGGGAGGTATGTTAGAAATCTGTGGGCCAGATGCAATGGATGACCTGTGGCATGATGATTAGAGTCCTAAACTGGGAAGTCCAGAGTAATGAGGTTCACCAAGAAAGGGGGTCTAGACCCCATGACCTCCAGCTTCCCAGCTGAGTACACTAGCTACTGAGTTATGGGGTCACAGAATCACCCCCTTTTATGTTCCTAAGGCTAAGTCTAGTAGTTATTGGTTCTGGTGGACTCCATTTCTGGGCATCTAAGGACACTGTGTGTCTACATGGGGTGTATACAAATGCCCTAGTCGCTACTGCGCATGCCCAGTCAATGTGACTTATGTAGCTGCCCAGTCATCAACAAGCTTAGGGCTGTGTACTCTGGAGGAGAATGCCAGCCTAGGCTTAAAATAACATTTTTGGCACTTAGATGATGAAAAGTTCCATGGAGATGGACTGATCTGGACATTTAGCTGACCAAGAAAGGAACAGAATTCTACCGTAAGTTCACCCCTTATGCTCTAAGAAGGGAATATATAAAAATCCCACGCTCTT